GGGCTTGGACGCAGAGAACTCGGAGATAAAGTTCGTCAGGACTTGTCCTTTTATCAAAGTATGAGGCTTGTACTTGATCTCAAACTCCCCAAGCTCTACAACCCATTTGGCAACCCTCCCAGACATCTCGGCCCTGTGAAGGATCAGCTTGAGAGGCCGGTCTATAAGGACATCTATGGCGTGAGCCTGGAAGTAATGTCGAAGTTTTCTTGTCGAGATTACCAATGTCAAGACCGATTTCTCCATTGGAGAGTACCTTGTCTCGGCGTCAAGCAAAGTCTTGCTTATGAAATACACGGGTCTTTCGGCCCCTTTGCTATCTCTGAGCAGTGCTCCACTTACGGTGTCTTGAGATACGGATAAATAAAGGCTAAACACCTCCCCCGCCGCGGGGACGGATAAAGTTGGAGGATCTTTCAAGTACTCCTTGATCCCCTCAAGAGCTCGACCATATTCCTTGTCCTATATCCCCTTAGTTGCTCCATTCAACTTGACAAAAAATGGTTTGCACTTATCGGACAACTTGAAAATAAATCGGTTAAAAGCTGCCAACATCCCAGCCAATTTCTGAATATCCTTAATGGTCCTAGGCGCCCGGACATTCTGGATTGTTTGTATCTGCTCGGGGTTTGCCTCGATACCCCGGTGAGTAACCAAATACCCCAAACACTTTCCTGAGCTCACTCCAAAAGTGCATTTCGAGGCGTTTAGTTTTAGGTCATACTTCCAAATGATGGTGAATGTCGTCCCGAGATCATAGAGATGTTCGGCACTCTCTTTGCTTTTGACCAACATGTCATCAATATTCACCTCCATCATTTCATGGAGCTGGTCTTTGAAAATTTTATTCATCAAACGTTGGTAAGTTGCCCCAACATTATTCAACCCAAAAGGCATCACTGTGTAACAGTAGATCCCCCAAGGTGTAATGAACGTTGTTTTCTCCTGATCTGATTTATGTAAGGGAATCTGGTGATATCCAGCCCGAGCATCCATAAAAGTGATTCGTTTGTGGTCGGTTGTGGCGTCTACCAGCTGATCAACCTTGGGCAAGGGGTACTCGTCCTTGGGACAGGCCTTGTTCAGGTCCGTGAAATCCACGTAAACTCGTCATTTCCTTTCTTTCTTTTTGGCACACACGGTATTGGATAAACCACTAGGGGAATTGTACCTCTTAGATGGAACCTGGCCCCAACAACTTATCACCTCTTCATCCACAGCCTTCGCGTGATAAGACACCATTCTTCGGGCCTTCTACCTAACGGGTTTGAATGAGGGATTTACATGGAGCCGATGAGTCATCACCTCGGCACTTATTCCCGTTATTTTGGCCTGGGTCCATTCAAAGACATCGGCATTGCGGCGAAGGAACGAGGCCATATCATTTTTCTCTGCGTCGCTGAGTGACTCTCCTATCCAAAAGTACTTTTCATTGTTATCCTGGCTCAGGAGAATGTTAACCAAGGCTTCAGTAGACCGATTGGCTGGTTCTGTAATGGGCTCGTCCACTCCCGGTCGACCGCTCTGTGATTGTTATTTGGCAACCACCGCATCGGGATCACGTTCCTAACTTCGGCCGCTAACTTCAGTTTTCAACGCGGCATAGAAACAACTTTTTGCCGATGCTTGATCACCCCGGACTTCCATTCTGCCCTACGGTGTTAGGAACTTTATCTTCTGGTGATAGGACGAGTTGACTGTCTTTATCGCATGCAACCACGATCTCCCCATAATAGCGTTGTACGGGGGGTCGGAGTCCACTACCACAAACTCCACTGGCATGGTCATCACCCCTGCACGTACCATAAGGGTGATTTTTCCAAGAGGCAGGGTGCTGGAACCATTGAAGCCGAATAAGGGGGTCTTTTACGGGTTCCAGATCCGCTTGCGAGAATCCCATTTTGCGGAAGATATGATCATACATCACCTCAGAAGAACTGCTCGAGTCTACCAAGATCTTTTTGACGTCGAACTTCCCAACCCGCAAAGTGATCACCAATGCATCCTCGTGGGGAAGGACCACCCCGCCGAGGTCAGTATCGAAAAACTGGATAACCTCGACACTGCTTCGCGACTTCTTGGGCGGCCGCTCCTCACCCCTTTCTTCCACCCTGACTGCTTGAGAGACCTTCTGTAACTCGGCGTTGAGGGAGTTGTATGTAGGCCTCTCCACTGTGCAGGCATAAATAACATTAATTACAGGCGCTACCTCAGTTGACATCTCGGCTCTCTCCCTCGTCGATCTGCCGGGACAACCCCTATTGATGAACTCCCCGAGGTGTCTGTCTTGCACTAATTGTTGGAGGAAGGACTTATAAGCCTTGTAATCCTCCGTCAAATGACCTACATCTTTATGATACAAACAACGGAAGGTCGCATTCATTGTCGATGGGCCTCCTATCATCCTCGGGGGCCACTTGAAGTAGGGTTTGTTTTTAATCTTGGGAAGCATCCTGTAAAAGGGTTCACTGAAGACCGTGTTCACCCCTTGGAAGGACATGCGAGTCGGGGGTGGAACAGGCCTCCCCTTCGGGCCGGTTGCTCCCTTTCCCTTTTTCTCGAGCGCGTTGGATTCTTCCTCCACTCGGACATATTTATTAATCCGAGCTATCAAGTCTTTCATGTCTGTCGGAGTCTTCTTAGTCAGCAATTTGTACAAATCAGTGTCCTGGGATAGCCCTAGCCTAAACGGCGCCGCAGCCAATGCCTCTGAACATGCTTCCATCTCATTAACTTCATCCTAATACCGGACGGCATATTGTCGAAGTGTATCTCCTTCCTTCCGCCTAAGCATCAACAGAGTGCTCGATGTCCTTCGGTTTCTTACTGTTGATGATGAATTGAGCTATGAAGAGCCCCATCAATTGTTTTCAGGACCTGACGCTCTCAGGAGCCAGGTTCTCATACCATCTCATGTCTGTGTCCTTTAGGCTCATGGAAAAAACTTGGCACAACACCGTTTGGTCAGTATCGTAGATTGACATCAATTGTTTGTATTGCCGAATGTGGCTCTCGGTATCGATTTTTCCATCGTAGATTTTGAACCGTGGGACGGTAAACTTCTTCAGTATTTCGGTCTCCCTGATAGCCCGGATGAATGGTGAAATAACTTTGTTGGAATAGACCTCGGGCTCATGGTCGCGATAAGCGGCGAAGTGGACCCTGGGATCCTTTTTTTATCTTTCTTCTTGAGGCCTTCGGGGTGTGGACTCCGCTTGTGATTCGGCGGCACTGACGTCCTTGGGTATCCCTCGGTGTAGGTCCCACTGGGACAAGCTTGCCTTTTAGCACGATTTCGAATTCCCCTTCAAGGCCGAGAGCCCACCTTGGCGGTTACGTCTCTCGGGTGAGTGCCTAATCCAGTCTTTCCTGGCAGGCCTATGCCAAGGAGGCCTGGAAAGGTTCTGGCTGGGCACCTGGTCCCCGAACCCGCGACTATGCCCGCCTGCGCTCGCTGACTGCTCAAAATTGTCAAGACGCCGCTGGACCTTGACGTTTTCCTTCTCAAGCTGCTTAATGCGTTTGTCCATCCGCTTTTCCACCATCTCAACGATGTCACGGGCCATGAGGTCATGCCCCCAAGGCCCTGATCCATAGGGAGCGTTCGTTGCAAAGAACGCTCCACACCACCTGATTGGCCCAATGGACTTGGTTCCAGAACCATTGGAACCCGGACGGGTTCTGCGTTCTTTACACGCACACTTGCTCCTTCATCCCGAGATTCCTTCATCCTGAGATTGAGTGTTCACCATAAGACGATTGCTACTGGGAAAGATGCCCTCGCTTCCCACAGACGGCGCCAAATTGCACGGGATAATTCCTGCAATAATTTGAGACAACGATCTCCAAGCTGGCGAACCTGAAACAATAGGGTCAGAAAATAGGGTCAGGTGAGCACCCGGCTTATTCCCTCCGAATTTTAAATCAGTCTAAGGTCGAAGGGTTTAGCTCAATGGACAATCTTTTTTTGATTTAAATTTGCGTACCTTTGTCGATTTTTCTAAGGAGTATTTTTACCTAAATTAACAATTATTGTCAAAGATCTCCAGTCCCATCAGGACATCTTATATCTGACACACCATTTCTCGTGCAATGAGTGTTTTATGCTCACGTCTCCTCCCATTAAATGCTAGGAAGATGGGATAATGCTCGGCCAAATGCCGAGCATTTATGCCCCTCTCCCGAGTACCCAAATCCTCCAAATTGACATCTGACATCAACTGAGCATTGAATACTCGAGGGAGCAAATCCTGGGGGGGAGCCGATCGCGTTATCTCGACGCATCAGCCATTAATGTTTAGCCATTATGACAGTAAGTTTAGACTCCCAAAGTGCAGGTGCTTGCAGACACGCATTTATTTATCTTGTCACTATCATTCATTCTGCAATAAATGAGGGGTCACATCGCATTAAATACGATATCAGCTGTCGTATTCGACTGTTCTGTATCACCATACCTCGGCTTACCTCTTCGACGCCCTTTGAACATTCTAACAACTTCATTATTCTATGTGTCAACCTGGGGGCTGTAGAGCCACCTAGAGTCCCGCCATAAACTATCTTAGCTTAACTTCAAATCACAAAGCATCAAAGTCAAAAACAAAAATTATTGAAAGTGAAACACAGCATATCCTTGAGCAAACAGGTTTCTAGAAAAAAAAAACACTGGTTTCTAGAAAAAAAATATTGAAGGATCAAAGTCTAAGGTAATTTATAAATTTGCCCTTCACATCAGTAGTTTGTTTTTTCAACGCACTTCGTAGCCTAAATTTCCACATGAAACTATATTATCATGCTCGCAAAACAAAATTTATGTCCCAGTCAATGATTTAGAAAATCTTAGTATTGAATTAGTGTATTTTATTATATCTTTCCAACCTGTCATTTCAACCATAATAAACCCCCCTCTCTCTCTATATAATGTCCGTGCACAACAACATATTCAGACCTGGGTTTTCCGCCCGTAATACTGGTGGTGGTGCTTTCTCTTTCTTTCCAACATGAAGAGCCTAGTCGTCCAAGTCCTTACCGGACGGTGGTTCATGGTGTTCGCCTCCTTCCTCATCATGTCCGCCGCCGGCGCCACCTACATGTTCGGCCTCTACTCCACCGACATAAAATACTCCCTCGGCTACGACCAAACCACCCTCAACTTGCTCAGCTTCTTCAAGGCCCTCGGCGCCAGCGTTGGCGTACTCTCCGGCCTCATCAACGAGGTTTCGCCGCCGTGGGTGGTGCTCTCAATGAGTGCAGTACTTAACTTCTTCGGCTACTTCATGGTCTGGCTAGCAGTAACCAAAAAAATTTCAACACCCCAAGTTTGGCAGATGTGTTTGTACATATGTATCGGAGCAAACTCTCAGCCTTTCGCTAACACCGGAGCTCTGGTCACCTGCGTCAAGAACTTCCCGGAGAGCCGAGGCGTCGTGTTGGGTCTTCTCACAGGTTTTGCGGGTCTAAGTGGAGCGATCATAACCCAACTATTCCATGCAGTTTATGATAATGACACAAAATCTCTCATTCTGATGATCGGATGGTTGCCGGCGGCGATCTCGNGGTTTTGTGGGTCTAAGTGGTGCGATCATAACCCAACTATTCCATGCAGTTTATGATAATGACACAAAATCTCTCATTCTGATGATCGGATGGATGCCGGCGGCGATCTCGTTCGCTTTCCTCCGAACAATTCGGATCATGAAAGTTGTTCGACAACCCAATGAGCTCAAAGTTTTCTACCATTTTCTCTATCTCTCTCTTGGTCTCGCTTTGTTTCTCATGGTGATTATTATTGTCGAAAACAGGTTTCGTTTTTCTCAGAGTGAGTATGGTGGTAGTGCAGCCACAGTTCTGATCTTGCTCTTTTTACCTCTAGCTGTTGTTATAAGAGAAGAGTATTATCTATGGAAGAAGAAGAAAGAAGCCATGGATAATCTTTCCCAGCTGAAGATCACAACAGAGTTGCCGAACACCGAGACTACGTTGCCTCCGCCACCAGCACCGTCGTCGTCTTCCACCGCCGCTACTGAACTACCCAGTTCCCCAAAGGAAGAAGCTTCTTGCTTCAAAACAATTTTCCAGCCACCTAATAGAGGCGATGACTTCACTATCCTTCAAGCACTCTTCAGCATCGATATGCTGATTCTCTTCCTAACAACAATCTGCGGAGTCGGCGGGACATTGACGGCCATAGACAACTTGGGTCAGATCGGAACTTCTCTCAGATACCCAACTCGAAGCATTAGTACTTTCGTCTCTCTCATCAGTATTTGGAACTACCTCGGAAGAGTAGTCGCCGGTTTCGTCTCCGAAATCATGTTAACCAGATACCAATTCCCTCGGCCATTGTTGCTTACAATGACCCTTGTTCTCTCATGTGTTGGTCACCTTCTCATAGCCTTTGGTGTCCCAAATTCTCTCTACGTCGCCTCAGTAATAATTGGTTTTTGCTTTGGAGCACAATGGCCGTTGCTTTTCGCCATCATATCTGAGCTTTTCGGACTAAAATACTACTCCACACTCTACAATTTCGGCTCAGTGGCGAGCCCAATTGGGTCGTATATACTCAACGTGAGGGTTGCTGGACATTTGTACGATAAGGAGTCGAACAAACAGATGAGAGCTTTGGGACTCGCTAGGAAGCCTGGTGAGGACTTGAATTGCACCGGAGTGGATTGTTTTAAATTGGCTTTCATTATAATCACGGGGGTGACGGTGTTTGGTGCGCTTGTTTCGGTTATTTTGGTGGTTAGGACTAGGAAGTTTTATAAGAGTGACATTTACAAGAGAGGAGGCGCAAGCAGCTGAGACACAGATGGCACTGGCGGAGAACGGCATCATCGTCCGATCATCATTGGGACGAAGGGGGGTTGAAGATTGATGACAATATATGTCATTATAGATTAGAGGGATAACAAATGAAAGGCTAGATACATACATAATTGTATGAAAAAAGAAGGTTAGCTGTTCCAAAAGTTTTACACTTCTTTTGCTGGTTTTTCTGGAGTGGCCAAACTGCCATTGTTTGTTATATGAAATTACTGGGTTTTTTTTTTGGTTTTTATGTTATTGTTATTGTTGTTGTTGTTGTTTGGTTTTGGAAAATTGAGAGAAATTAAGGAAGATTGGCTAAGTGATTCTTGAGTAAAATGGTCTCTTTGATCGTTGTTGAGTTTGTCCATTTCTTCATGAAGTGGAAATTTCCATATGCATTATTGAAAGATTACTACTAGAAAAAATGCCAAATAATCCCCAAGAGACTACATCAAACACCCTATTTGGACCTAATTTAGAAATCCAATTCAACAGTCATTAGACTAAAAATAGGTTTCATCTAACAAATTTGAAACACATCTAATAAAGTGGGTTTCAAATTTAGTCCCTATAGCATTGCTCTTCTTAGAATAAGTTTTTTTTTCTTGCTCGTTTTTCTAGAAAATATTTAATATAATGGCGATATTGTCCACTCGATTCATACGTTTCATCTTGTCTCCTACTTCTTGCCACTTTTAGACCTTGACCCTAACACAATCTACCACTTCCTACTTCACCTCCTCTCCCCGACGGAGGAGTAAGGTTTGGCAAAAGAGCAATGGCATCACCTGGTAGCCCAAACCAACAAATCATGGGCTGGATGATCTTGCCATGTTATACCAGTGGCTCGTGCAAGTAAGGTCATCGGCCTCACTTTTGTCACGTCTTCACCAGATTGGTGGGCTTGACCCAACCGTTAGCCCAACAATGGTCCATGAAGATATCGATCAATTTTTCAATAAAAATTTCATATAAGAAGTCTTTTTTTTTTTTTGGTCAGAATATATTAAGTCTATTGACAGGATCCTCCCTTCACATCCCAATTTAAAAATCTTATTAATTTGGAAAAGTATATATTTTTATTCAGAAGGTAAATAAGTTTATTAAACCAAAAAAATAAGATATACAATAAAGTTCAAAACACGTCAAAAAATAGGGCACACAATGCAATACTCATAAAGTTTGTTCCGTCCATACACCTAGTCTATAAATAAAATAATATCTGCACGGGATAATTCCTACAATAGTTTGAGACAACGATCTCTAAATTAGAAAACCTGAAACAACAGGGGCAGAAAAAAGGGGGTCAGGTAAACACTCAACTTATCCCCTCCGAAGTTCAAGTCAGTCTATGGTCGAAGGGGTTTTGCTCAATGAACAATCTTTTTCTGGTTCAAGTTTGCGTATCTTTGTCCATTTTTCTGAGGAGTATTTATACCTAAATTAACAATGATTGTCAAAAACCTCCAGTCTCATCTGGACATCTAACATCTGACACATCATTCCTCGTACAATAAGTGTTTTCTACTCACGTCTCCTCCTATTAAATGCTAGGACGATTGGATAAATGTTCGGCCAAATGCCGAGCATTTATGCCCCTCCCCCGAGTATTCAAATCCCTCAAATCGGCATCTAACATCAACTGGGCATTAAATACTTGGGGGAACAGTTCCTCGAGGGAAGTTGATCGCATCATCTCGGCGCATCAGCCATTAATACTTCGCCATCATGATAATAGGCCTAGACTCCTGGAATGCAGGTGCTTGTAGGCACGCATTTATTTGTCTCGTCACTATCACTCATTCCGCCATAAAATGAGGGGTTACATCGTATTAAATACGATGCCAATTGTCGTACTCGGCTGCTCCGGATTACCATACCTCGGCTTACCTTCTCGGCGCCTTTTGGACATCCCTATAGCTTCATTATTCCACGTGTCAACTTGGGAGCTATAGAGTCACCTAGAGTCCCCCCCAACTGCCCCCCAGCCGCCATCATTTTCGCAGTGTAAGATAAGTGGCGTAAAGAGATTGAAGGCTTAATCATCATGCCTTATTAATAGCTATGGTTACTTGCACATCTGGCGCCACCCTTTTCAAATACCCTAATGATTACCTAACTTTTCGATTCTCGCTCCCTATAAGACAGTATACATAGAAGGTATTCTTGCCTTCTTAGAACTTTTGCATCCTCAGCCTCTTTTCGGCAATTAGACCCCGAGCGCTCCTTTGTTGTCTTTCGAGTTTCTTTCGTCCTCCAAGCTCCCTTTTCGAAGACCACCTTGCTGTAAGTACTTCCACTTGAGTTTTTTCTTTCTTAATTTTCTCTACATTTCTTTCTTTTAGCGTCCACCAATGGCCAGAACTGGTAGAACTAGGGGGGAGATATCTGTTAGGGCTAGGGCTACCCATAAGATGAGGAGAACCTAAATGACTAGTGAGAATATTCAGGCTTTCAGGGTTAGGTACCACATCCATGAGCCCGTCTTTGCCTTCCCCTTTAACCCCACTCACCATATGAGGGATATAAGAAGTATAGACATGATGTCTTTCTGGACGAAGGTCATCATGGAAGGAGGGTTGATCTTCCCTTTTCATCCTCTGTTGCTGGGAGTGTTGATGCAACTGAAGTTCTTGCCCCTTCAATGTGGGGTTGATTTTTTTAGGATTGTGATAGGCGTAGTCGCCCTAAATGCTTGACTAGGGACCAACTTAGGAGTAGATGAAATTTTATTCTGCTACGATCTAAGGTTAGTCGCCGAGGAGAGATACTACCTCCAAGCTCGAGACACCTCAATGTATTTGGTAACTCACATGCCCGACTCGGACAAAGGTATGTAGACGATCTGATTATTCTCGACGAAAGTTGGGAGAAAGGGCCAGGGCCCGAGTATGATGGATTATACTACCCCAAAGTGCCGAGAGATGAAGGTGTGTTTCCTTCCTAACTTGTATTGATTTTGCTATTTTTGGGCCCGAGGGATGCACTGATTTTGCTTGCTTTTGTAGAAGGATATCGCTAGGACGCTACTTAACCCTTGAGGTCCCGAGTCTAGTTTGCGGACTTGCTACGGGTTTGGTTCTTAGACCCAATTGAGCGAGTGGCGCATACTCTACTCGGCTATACGCCACCTTACAACTGATTTTCTCAGATCCCTCCTCCCTTCAACCCTTCTCTTTGGGAAGATCATTCCTCTTCGACGGAGGAAGAATTCAAGGGAGATTCCAAAGAAGAGTCTGATCATCCTGCTCCCGAGCCCCTAGCGCCTGAAGAAATATTTAATCCACCACCAGTTACAGTTGCTACAATGGAGAGTGCCGCCACTACGAGGAGAGCCAGGCTCGCCGGACCTTCCAACACTGCCCCGATAATTCCACTACCAAATTCTCCTCGGCGTCAACCACCCTCACCACTGCCACGTCCCCAACCATCCAGGGACCCGGCTGTGCCAACCAGGCAAAGGACCTCATCTCAATAAATCTCTGCTTCTAGAGATCGACCGAGGGATCGACGTGCCTGGGAGGTCGAACAATCTGAAAAGCGCCGTGTGAAGCGGCGGCATGACGTCCTGGGCCCCTCCATCTTGGGCGAATAGGTCCCTCGAGCCGAGACCAGGAGCGGCCGCCCCATCTTGGAAGTTGACTCCATCTTGTAGTCCCCCGAAGTGACCTTTGCCATTACAGGGACTTTTCAATTTGAAGTTGATATGGCCGTGTACAAAGACTATTCAGATAATCTGCTTCTGATGAGCACTATACAGAACAACTTGGTGGTAAGTATAACACTTTTCCGAGTATTCTTCATACAATTTTGGTCATTTTCTAAGCCTTTTCCCTCTTCAGGCCAGCCAGCAGATGGGGACCATCATTGAATATTTTTGGGAATATAAACAAGAGGCAAAGAATGTCGAGCGAGCCATGGCTGCGAAGGAGGAACACATCCTTAAGGTTGAGAGGACCCTCTGTACCAAACACATTGCCAAGCTTATCCGTTAGCGAGACGCCTATCATGCCGAGTTGGAAAAGACGAAGGCGGGTGAAGCTGCGATGATAAAGAAGGTCGAGGAGCATGAGCTGCGAGTCTCCTCCTCCGAGGTCAAGCTGCAGGAGTCCGAGTCTGTAATCAACGAATTTACTACCAAAATGGACTCCTTGACCACAGAGAAAGAAATAGAGTAGGAAAGACTGCAGTCGGAATGTCAAAGGGTGTGGCTGGCCACCCAGGACCAAATGGTCCCTGCCTTCGAGGAAGCCAAAAAGAAGGCTTTCAAAGAAGGTTGGGATGCCGCCCTTTGCGCCTACCATGTGGAGGCTGGCTCGGATTTGTTCGCAATGCATAGCCTCCGAGGAGAGGTTAATGATGAAGCTAAGGAACAAGTCTAAGCTGAGCCCGACGAGCAAGTTCAGGCCGAAAGGGCAGCCAGGTCCGAGGGCGGGAACAAACCCATCACACTTAGCGATGGTTCTGACCAGCCTTCTCCTACCTTTCCATCTTTGCAACCCTCCGATCAAGCCGGTGATCTTCCCCCTCTTCTGCCCCCAATCATTACTGGAGTGCATGACACTGAGCTAGATGAGATATTGGGGGTTGGAGATAAACTGCAAAAAGGGCGTGGAGGCCTCGGTGGGGGAGAAGTAGGGTAGGAATAAGTCGAGGTCGTCAGCAGTTGTTGACCTTGCAACTTCTATGTCCTGAGTTTGTACTGTAACCTTTAGCTCTGCTTTGTACACAATTAACTATTTTGTATGCTTGGGGACGCAAAACCCCTTTTTTGATTGCAATGGAACTCTTTTTTTTTATATATAAGTGTTCCTTTTTACCAGCAATATGTTTGTTTCTATGAAATGACCTTGATGCTATGTTGATAATGACCTTCTAAAGTAGCAAGGCTTCATGTCGAATGTATAAGAGAAATTCCTAGTAAAGGCGCTGAACTTGTTTCTGGGTCTTTGAATCCCTCAGGACCGAGTTTACATATCCCCCGGGGCCGTACCCCCACGACTGAGCGCGTGGCTTGTTAATAATTTGAAGGCATTACTCCCAAGGTGGAGTCTTACATCCCTTGGG